TATAGGTTTTCCTCATTAAAGAAGGCTACAGGGTTTCCTCCCTAGCTCAATACTACACTGATCCCCATGTTAGAAGCGCCACATTACAGCTCAAACAACTGACTAAAGTCCGATAAATTTAACACTGGTCTTGTGTCACCTTCTTCTTCAGGGTTCTAAAACTTAACTTAATTGCCTCAGTCCACTGGAACTTCTCTCCCTTCAAAAAAATATGTCAGAAGAGTTGTCATTGTGTTGAAGCACCTCATGAATCGCCTGTTGAATGAGCTAGCCCCAAATACTGTCTCATCTCTAAAAAGGATTGTGGGGGTGCCCAACTGACGATCGCCACTATCTTTGAGGGGTTCATCTGAATGTTGGTGTCGGACATAATATAACCCCAAAAACATACCTGCGTCATCAGGAAGTGGCACTTATTCCGGTGGACATATAGCTTCTCCGACCCCAGAACCTCAAAAACCTACCTCAGATGTTGTAAGTGCTCCCCCTCGAAACAGTTGTGATAGTGATATTGTTGAGATAAATAATCACGAACTTCCCGATACAAGCTCGAAAAACCTGATTCATCATTCTAAATAGGGTGTTAGGTGCACTGGGCAGTCCAAATGGCATGACGGTCCACTCGTACAACCTGTCGTTATTCTTAAAGGTGCTCTTTCATTCATCCCCCGACCTCATTCTAATCTGATGACATTCGATGCTCAAATCAACCTTTGAAAAGACTACGTCTCCATGTGACAGATACAGTAGGTTGTCCAAGCGAGGGTTAGGGAACAGGTATTTGATGGTGACATTGTTGATAACTCGATTATCGATGCACATCCTCCATAGTTGTCCTTCTTAGGCACCCTCAACACAGGGGCAGCGCACGTGCCGGTACTTACTCTCACCAATCCCTTAGTAATGAGATCTTACGCTTGCTTCTGTAGCATACTCCAGTGGCCTCAATCTATATGCAGGCTTGTTGGGCAACACTAATCCTGAGATAAGGTATGTGGCATGTTGGATATCCCTAAGCGGTTGTAGACCCTCTGGCAAGCAGTAGGTAATCACCTTCTGAAACTCAGCTAACAGTGGTTGAACCTTGTCCAGTGGATTCATCTTATCCTCAGTTCCCTCTAAGAAGAATAAGTTCGATGCCATGAGGGCTTCTCGAACATAGTAATGAAATGTGGTAAGTGGGACCTCAGGCTTATCCTCGACAGATGTAGTTGCTCCTCCAAAATCCTTGATGGAAAAGAGAACGACGTTTTTCTCCTCCTTCGTGAATGGGTAAGTGTTCTTGAATCCGTCATGTTGTGCCTTACCATCGAATAACCACGGCCTTCAAAACAGGATATGGTAGGCGTCTGTGGGCACGTCACGCCACAGTAGGTCATATAGTTGATACACAATGAAAAACTCGATCAGGCACTATTAATCCACTCGTATCTCATTTAATTTCTTCAACCACATCAAAGAAAAGGGTTGGGAGTATTTCTATGTAGTCAAATTCAACTTCTGCAGTCTTTGTAAGTAGGCGAAATGCTTCTACAGATAATCATATGGTAAAGTTAGCAGGGAAGCTGACAACCTACACGAAAGTTGTAGGGTATGATCTGCAGGTAAAAAAAATGGAAAAACACCTACAAAGAAAGCTACAGATTATGGCCTCGGGTATGGCCTAAGAAAGGGTTGTAGCAAGAAAAAGCTTCAGAGGTCCTGTTGCAGAAAGACTCTGAAGGAGAGATTGTTGCAAAAAAAAACTCCGGAGAAGAAAGCTCCAGAGGGCCCGCTACAGGAAAAAAGCTCCTAAAGAGGGCCTGCTGAAGAAAAGAGCTCTGAAGGAGGACCTGATACAAACAAAAACTCTGAAAAATGACTTGATACAAGAAAAAGCTCCAGAGGAGGGAATGCTGCAGGAAAAAACACTAGATAGCCTATTACAGGAGAAAGCTCTGAAGAAGGGTCAGGAGGGCTTAATGCATAAAAAAGCCTATGGCGACAAAGGAGATCAGAGGAAGCGTATCAATGTTTTGATTAGAAGGACCAATAATGTACTCCTTAATCAATGTATCTACTCCAACACCTAGACCTTCCATAAGAATAGTCAGCTTTCCTGATACATCTTCCCTTCCACGAAGCCAATGCAGAACCTTTTTTGCATCTAAAATCCTCGCTTTGCTAACAAGACACCTTGAAGACTCAGGCAGGAAGAATCTTGTTAATGCCAAATATATCAGGGATGGGATGGAGTGAAATCCAAGTATCACTCTTCAGTTAGGATTCTCCATAAGAGACATTGCAAACACCATACAGTACACATAAAAATTCCCCTTGAGCCACAGAGTGGTGTAAGGGTATTTAATTGCCCTCTTATTTCAGGTGGGGATGCGAAAATATACACAGGAATAAGGGTAACAGCCAAGCCAACTCCAAACCCATCAATGAGCCTCGCAAGGAGTAAGATGTAAACATTTGGAGAACACGGCATGATCAAGCCACTAATAAATCAAAGTACTGATGACAAGATAAACATGGGGTGCCTGTCACACCAATCTGAAATAGGTCCTGAGCATTTAGTAATTATTGTAACGCCAATATGTGACATAGCCACAATTAAACTTTCAATAGTAGGCTCTGTCTGCAACTTAAATTCCCTTATAATATAAATAACAGCTCGTGCAATTATAGCATTGTCCCAACCCTACAACAGGTTTCTAACAGCGGTTGCTATAAAAACAACTCTGTCCATCTCTCTAGCAAGAAAGAGATATGATTATTAACAAACAACAGCTTTCGTCGATTGGAATTCAAATAAAAGTATATTCATTCAATTGACTGAAGAATCAAAAACAGAAAGCATGGCCATCACAATGAATAAACCGATGTAAGTAGGCCAAAATAGGCCAAGAAAGCTCAATCAGAATCCAACACTTAAAATCCCTTTCTCCCCTGCCTAATGCCACCTCTCAAGCAGCAAAATACATTCAACAAGAGTCAGGTAATAACCTACAGAAAGGAGAGTTGGCTGGCAGAAGGGAGACCGAAGACTGAAAAAAACTGCAAGGGAAGGAGCGACTGGCGAGAACGGATGCAAGAGGGTGTTCCCATGACATGAAAGGCTACAAAAGGGAACTCCTGCAGGAAGAGGAAGTTTCCAACGAAAAAATTGAAGAGCCTGCAACATGGAAAAGATTCTTAGTTTTAGGGAATAGGAAGTTTCCAGCAACAGGAGATACTAAGGTTTGTTTCAAGGCTCTGATACCGTATTGAATTTCATAATTCAACGGAATTATTTTATTGATATGAAAAAATAGGCTACAAACACCCTTACATGAATCCTAGAATAGTAAAGAGAAGAAAAAGGAAATAAAATTAAAGGAAATATATAACACCTATATCTCCAATTAATTAATCTTGGAGATAAAGAAAATGACAAAAAATAGAAAAGCCTAAAATATGAAATGAAATAAATCCAATCAAAGAAAATAAATCTAAAATAGGAAAGGAAAATAATCTAATCCTAGAAATTTTTAACAAGAATAAATTATTTCCTAATATAACTTCTAACAGGTTCTTTGGTGGCTCATTCATTTACTATATGGACATTAAAATATTAGTGATAGAAAAATAATAATAATAAAATTAATTTCACCATCCGAGCTTTTGTTCTCACCTTAGTTAATTCTAAGACTTAAGTCAGGTCGTGACAGTTTCATTGAGCATTATAATGTAGCATTAGAGCTAGAATTTGATATAATGAGATGTGATGTGGGTTCTCTATGGTCCACATCTTGATGGCCAATGAAACTAGGCACCCATACATGACATTATAAGATAATATATTATGTCAAGAAATAAATAAAATAAGCAAATAAATGTTATCTTATGAATAGTTTAATATGTTGACACATGCAAACCCGACTAATCTAACACATTATGATTGTGAACTTTAACATCTCTTTTAATTTTTTTTTAGCAAATAACCTTTCTTATTCTTAAGACATACTATTATTCAAACAATTTTACTTTATAATGAATTTATATAATTCACCAGACTGGTCAATCATACTATTATTCAAACAATTTTACTTTATAATGAATTTATATAATTCACCAGACTGGTCTATGTTTGTGCTTTTAAACCTCATCTCTAATTCATGATTAGCATACCAAGTTATTTCATCTCCTTAAACAATTGAATTATGTTTTAGAGCTACTTATCTTATTCATCTTTATATCTCAGATATTAATTTGACAATTATTTCCGATAAAGTGAAAGATAAGATTGAACTTGAGTGAAGATCATATTCTGAATCAACATTCCAATAGTTTGATGCTTAGTTCTGATATAAGAAGCATATTCATGTACTATACATTGTCAAAGTTGATATTAGGCATAAGGACTCAAGATTATCATTAGAATAAGAGAATGAATGGAATTTTTTAAATGTATTCTAGAACAATTAATGTGTATAATCATGTTGGATCTTTATGAGTTAGGAATTATAAAATATGATATGTTCAGACGGTTCAAATGATTGAGTCAATAACTAGCTAGATTGTGATAGGTATATTTCTACAATGAGTGATAATAGATTCACTTTTCTAAGTTAAACAATTACATCTTATGTTCAATCGAAAAGGTGTTATTGTGGGGATCATAGAGTTGATGTATAAACATCAATTTTATGATTACTGTATTACCTTCATATCTTTCAATTGATTCTGAGAGTTGATACAGTAAATCAAGGCTAAAAATCTTTAAAACAAAGTAGAAATTTAAAACTCAACACAAGTGTAATTAAAATAAAGTAAAATTTTGTAAAATTCAGTTACCAGTGATTGACACGTAGTGAATTGGATAAGATGCCAACGACTTATGAGGGAAACAAACAAAGATTATTTTGCAAGTAAAATAGATGGCATGCTGAATGAAATATAAATTCATTTTGAAACTGTTAGCATAAACTTCCATTTAAAGCATTCTTAAATGGAATTGTGAGTTAAAAGCATACCATGCAGATGGGACTCAACACTTCCATTTCGAACAAGTTCATAAACCAAACAGCGTTTATGGCCTTCAATGCATATACCAATCAGCTTGACCAAATTACGATGATGCAGTCTGCTCAGCATTTCTACTTCTCCAATGAATTCACGATCACCATTCTGTTCCTTCCTTGTTAGCAGCTTAACGGCAACTTCATCTCCATTCTCCAAAATTCCAAGATAAACACGTCCATACCCACCTTCACCCAGCATTCTCTCTGAACTAAATCTATTAGTTGCTTTCTCGAGCTCGGATAGTAAAAATGTTTTCACTGAGGATGGGTAAGTAGCCATTGTAGAAACAAGAGACATGGATGTTGAACTTGCAACACTACTTTGTATGGTAGTCCTAGTTCCTGTATCAAACCAATATGGAGATTCCAAGGGGTTACAATCATTTATTTAATCAAATGTTAGATAAATTTTATAACATAATCATCATTTTCAATATAATGTGAAATTACATATATATAATACATTAAAAAGTCAAGAAGAGAGGGAAAACGTAAAAAGGGCTATGACAATGCTCCATTTCAAAATGACGCAATCCAGTTTGTTTTTTTGGTCTTTTATTTTGAAACTTGAAAAGATGTACTCAGAGGGACAACAACTCATCCAAAAAATCCAACAAATATTGATATGATATATACTAAAGGCTTGTTTGAGATCAATTTTATTGTTTGGTTGTATTTTGTCTTTTAAAAACAAAATTATTTTGTGTTTTTCATGTATTTTTATATTTTATTCTAAAAATATATTAACATGTTTTTAAAAATACTTTTCAGTGTTTTGAGTGTTTTTAAAAACAAATATATATTAATCAAATAGCCAAAAATGTTTTAAATCAAATCAAAACAAAAACAATACAAAATTAAAATAAAAAAGTGATCCTAAACAGCCCCTAAGAGAAAGAGTCGGCGAGAAGCACAAAACATATGGTAGATAGCATTAGAGAACTCTATTTCAAAATGAGACACTCAATTTTTTAACGTTTCTTATCATTCTGGTTCTGGGGAAGGGGATGTTATTTTTTCATTTAAAAAAAGAAGTTACATTAGCCCAATCAATCTAATATCTAATCTAATCTATATATAATGTATTCTTTTATTTACTGATTCTCATCTAAATTAATAGGAAAATTATTCCCTCTAATATAACGCAAAGTACGTAAATTCTGTACACAAAATTTTGAATATTAATTCATTTTCTCCTTTGTTAATATAAATAATTAATTTGAAAGAACGTTTTCTCCTCATTTTAGAAGGCTTAGACTAACCTTAAAGAAAAATGATTTTACATTTTAATCTAATTGTTTAGAATAATATGGAATATTTTTATTGATATGAAAGGAGGCATAATAACCCTTATATGAAAGATAATAAAAATAAATAACAAGAAAGAAAACATCTAACACCTAATATTTTCAATTAATCAATTCGAATAATTATTTGGAAATAAAAAACAACAGAAAATAGGAAAGTCTAAAATAGGAAAGGAAATAAATCCACTCCAAAAAATATAAGTCTATAATAAGAGAGAAAATAAAGTTACATTAGGAAAGAAATCTAATTCTCATAAATTCTAATAGGAATAAATTTTTCTAATGTAAATTCTAAGACTCCCCCTCGAGTTGAAACATGGTTGAAAACCATGTTCATTTTGGTTTTGAAAACATCAAACAATAGGCAAGGGAGATTCCATGAAGTAGAACTTGAAATCTGCCTCATACTGCGATTTTCCTTGACTATAATTCCTGCAGTGTCTGTAGGTATGCGTGAAGTTCTTATAAGTAATGTTGCAGGGGAGTTTGCAGGGGAGTTTGCAGGGAAGTAGACAACCTATAAGAAAAGTTAAATTCTAGTTGATTGTGTTGTCTTTGACTGCAGTTCTTGTAGGTAGGCAGAAGGCTCCTACATGTAATAATAAAGGTGAGTTTGCAGGGAAGTAGAAAAACTACAGAAAAAACTGACTTCTAATTGACTGCAATTCTTTCAGTGTCTGTAGGTAAGCAGAAAGCTCTTACAGGTAATGTTGCAGGGGAGTTTGCAAGGAAGTAGATAACCTCCAGAAAAAAATTGTAAGGTATAACCTGCAGAAAAAAGGAAAAAAAGAAAAAAAACCTGAAGGTAGGCCTTGCTGCAAAAAAAGTTCCGGAGGAGAGCCTAATAAGTAAAAAAAACCATGGAGGATGGTCTGCTGCAGAAAAAGCTCTAGAGGAGGGTCTACTGCAAGAAAGATTTCGGAGGAGGGTCTGTTGCAGGAAAAGGTTCCAGAGAAGAGCCTGATACAGGAAAAGGCCGAAGGAGGGTCTGCTGCAAGAAGAATTCCAGTGGAGGACTTGTAGCAGGAAAAGCTCCAAAGGAGAGCCTTTTCAAGAAAAAAGCTCTGAAGAAGGGTCTACTGCATGAAAGCTTCAGAGGAGGATCTACTACAGAAAAGATTCAGGAAAAGGGCCTAATGCAAGAAAAACTCTTGAAGGAGGGCTTGATGCAGAAAAGGCTCTCGAGGAGGTCCGCTGCATGAAATAATCTGGTGGAGGAGATGCCATACGAAAAGCTCCGGAGGGCCTAATACATAAATGCTCTAAAGGAGGGTCTGCTTTAGAAAAAACTCCGGATGAGGGTTTGTGTCAGAAAGGCTCGGAGGAGAGCCCACAGCAGAAAGGCTCCGAATGAGAGCCTGTGGCAGAAAAAGGCTCTAGAGGAGGGCTGCCACAGGAAAAGGCTCCAGGGGAGGACCTGCTGCATGAAAAGGTTTCGGGGAAGGGCCTGCTGCATGAAAAGGTTTCGGGGGAGGGACTGCTGCAGAAAAAGCTCCGAAGGAGGGTCTGCTTCAAAAAAAAGCTCCGGATGAGGGTTTGCTACAGGAAAGATTCCGAAGGAACGCTTGCGACAGAAATTCTCTAGATGAGAGCCAGAGACAGAAAGGCTCTGGAGGAGAGCCTGCTGCAGAAAAAGGATCTGGAGGGTTTGCTGCGGGAAATATTCCAAAGGAGGGCTTGCAGCGGAAAGGCTCTGGAAGAGAGCCTGCAGCAGAAAGGCTCTAGAGGAGAGCCTGCAGTAGAAAAAGGCTCTGGAGGATGGTCTGGTGTAGGAAATATTCTGAAGGAGGGCTTGCAACAGAAAGGCTCTAGAGGAGGAGGGTCTGTTGTAGGAAAGATTCTGAAGGAGGGCTTGTGGCAGAAAGCCTCCAGAGGAGAGCTTGAGATAGAAAGGCTCTGGAGGAGCGCATGCGGCAGAAAAAGGCTCTAGAGGAGGTCCTTTCGCAGGAAAGATTTCAAATGAGGGCTTGCGACATAAAGACTCTGGAAGAGAGCCTGCGCCAAAAAAAAAGTTCTGGAGGAGGGTCTGCTGCAGGAAAAGGCTCCGAGGAAGGGCCTGCTGCAAGAGAAGGTTTTGGGGGAGGGCAAAAGCTCCAAAGATAGGTCTGCAACAAAAAAAGACTCCAAAAAAGTTTCACAAGAGCATTTTGCTTGCTCTATGCATTGAGAGAAAGAGCAAAGAACACCATCATGTCTTAATATTTTTGTTGTAGAGGGTAATTTTGGAAGGCCAAGGAACACCGAGTTTGCAACTCTGCAAAACTCATCAAGGAAGACTTCTCCCTGGATATCCTTAATTGAAACAGTAATAAATATTTCAAGCCAATGAAAACTTCCCTAGCCAACACAGCTCTTTGCTCATGAAAATCAAATGTATAGACATGGCAAGAAGGTGCAAGAGCTCTAGCAAGAGTAGTTAGAGAACCATAACCAGTCCCTGACTTCAAAACAACATAGCCCAGAATATCCTCATAAGAGGCCTTCTTCTTAGTTCTCACAGTAAGATCAACAACTAAAACATCCACAATCAGTAAAAGGAAGGACATAACAGTCAATTTTCCATTCAAAACAGAAAGAACTTTCCCAACAGACTTGGCAGCTCCAGTGTTGTTGGCAATGATATTTAAACTATCAGCTCTTCCAGCCCTCCAGTTCTTGCTTGATGGACCATCAACAATATTTTGAGTTGTAGTGATTGAGTGCACAGTTGTTATCAAACCCTCAATTATGTCAAACCTGTCATTAATAACCTTCTTAGCCTTCTTAGAACCACCCTTAAAGTGAACAATAGCAGCCTTGTCCTTCTCCTTGTCCGTAAAGAAACGAGTGGACTCCACAACATATTCAGCACCAGCCTCACCCCATCGGATCTCCTCAAAGTTCCTAATGCTAAAAGCTGTAACAGGTTTCTCCCCAAAGAGAAGGGTCTTGGAGTCCTTGACCGTTATCTCATGATGTTTTCATTGCTCGTGCACAATATTATACTTAAACATTTATGTCATGTATTCGGTGGTAACGAACGGATCGTTAACTGCGACCAACTCCACATCTTCATTCAAAAGCGCAACTCTAGCCACAAGTTGTCTGATCCTTTCGAATTTTTTATTTCCAATCTTGATCTTTTTAGCAGATATCATGGCTATCAACAATAACGAGGAGATAGGAAGCGATTGGAGACAAATTAAAGGCGCACAAGAAATGATCAAGAAGGACAGCAAGCAGGATCAGGGAGAGAAAGCGTCCCTCCCTACCGACAGGGAGAGTGGCAAGAAGGGAGTATGCCAGCTCTGGAGAGAGGACAGATAGTTAAGGTAGGAAATTTGGCTCTGATACCATGTTTGAAATTCAGAATAATGCGAAATATTTTTAATGACATGAAAGTGAGTATAAATAACCATTACATGAATCCTAAAATAGGAAAGACAATAAACAAGAATTAACAGAAAAGAAAATACTTAATATCTCCAATTAACCGATGCATATTAATTATTTGGAGATAAAGGAAACAACATAAAATAGGAAAGTCTAAAATATGAAAAAAAGATAAATCCAATCAAAGAAAATAAGTCTAAAATAGGAGAGGAAATAAAGTTATATTAGAAAATAAATCTCATCTTCATAACTTCTAATAGAAATAAATTATTTCCTAATATAAATTCTAACACTAATTTCAAATATTGTAAAATTTAATTTGATTATTTAAAATTCCAATATTTAATGAAAGCAAAAAAATAAATATAAATTAACTTTTATTGCACATATTATCTAAATTATAAAATAATTTACTAAATAATTCTTATACAAAGATAAAAGAATTATTGAAGGATAAAGTAATATTAATCAATGAAAAAATAAAACTTATTAGTTTTTTAAAATTGTTAGATGGAACCTAGTTTCTACATTTTAATCTCCTGTGTAAGGAATGGTTATTTCATTGAAATAAAGTATTGCTGATTGGTCAGTTAAAAAATACGTTAAATCTGCATAGTGTATGATTGTTCAAGAAATTTGATTTAACACAATCTTGGTGTTTAGGATATAACTAATCACTAAATATTGCGACAACAGAGCTAGCTTATGCCCTATAAAAGTAAATGGTCATGGTAAAGGCACAAAAAATCAATGATTAAAGTCATCAAGAAGAGTGCAAATATATTTTGTCAGTATGCATTCGGATATGCACAAATGAATAATTTATTCAATTCAATCATCATATTAGTAGTATCCTAATTACTAAAGGTTGACTTTAAGAACCATTATCCTCTGGCGTTCCTTATGGAGGTGTTAAATCTATTTTATGCAAATCTCGTTGCACAACTTCTATCTAGCATAATTCCATTTATTTCAACCGTTTATGTTCTACAAACATTTAAAGCTCAAGTACAAAACTTCACATAGTTTTATTGAAATTTATTTGCCAAACAAATGCTTTAAAATTATTTCCACTACAGAGTCCTTTATAATCCTTTTCAACGGTTATCCTGAGGATAGCACAGCTTCATAACAAAAGTATTCCCTGGGAAAAAATTAATTCATCATTACCGAATTAGAATGATAGCCACCCAATTTAGGATTTTAAAGGAACATAAATAACCTTAATAATCTATGATCTTAAACAACATTTACCAAATTTTATTCCATGTAATAGATGCTTGGATTGATTGTGAAAGTGTAGGATTCATTTCAATAAAAAAATTACAAGCTATTTTGACCTTTAACAAAATTTGCAAAATTTGAATCAGCACAGGTAAGCAATGTGGTGAAAACTTGGCAAAGAAAATATCAAAATACCAGATCTCTTGGTCAAAGGGGCGCCGGCAGAGCTGGTAGTAGTAGGCATTCGGTCTAGCTTCTTAAATTTAAGGATTATTAAACCCACTCCGATAAACACCGATATTAGTAAAAATGAGGAAAGAGAAACAAGAACAATTATTTTATCGTTCAAGCTCTGTTTCTTGCTAGCACGTATGTTTGCTCTAAAGGGGTATTGTTGACTTCCACTGGGGTTGATACCTGAAGATCCCCAAGGCATAGGTGGAGGAGAGGAAGGAAGCCCTGTGTATGTCCAGTAATTAATTAAAACAAGAAGGATAAGAGCAGGTTTGGCATGGCCTTAAAAGGAGGTTTTACCTGGATAGTGAACAGATATCACTTGGTAATCACCAAAATAGGATTCACTTATTCGAACCTTTTTCTGCCAAAACCTATCGTAAATAATTAAAGCAGTCATTTTGTCAAATTTTTCACCCAATGGCACCAGGTAAATTGAAATTGTTGTCTTGTCTTGATTATAGATACTTGCATCAGCGCCCATGATTCGAACTTGACTCTGCTTCAGAAATGTGCCAGCTGCCACCTCAATCTCAAGTTCTGCAATCTGAGGAAACAGTAGAATTGGAGCTACACCTACATCTATAACAACTTTTATAGGGTATACACAACCACAAGGTGAACCAATTGGTGTCCGAGTGAAGGGATCAGAACATGTTATTTTATCACAATTTTCTGCAAATAAAGGAAACATTCAATCAAGCATATCAGTTCAGCTCAAGATGAGGAACAGAAGGAAATGATGAAACAAAATGTAAACTACATTTGGGCACACAGGGATATGACATAATGAAGCGCAACATCACCTTTTGGAGGAGAATAAGGGGATGGTGAAACTGTATGATGTTTCTTTGCCCGGGCATGCTTTTCAGCTTTTCCTGAAAGGAGATAAATTTGTTCAATAAAATCTAAGATGCATAGAAATCAGCGCTAAGAATATGTCAAATACCACTATGACGAGGTGGAAATGCTGGGGAAGGCCTTGGTGCCCATGGGGCCATAGCCCAATTTCCAGGTACACTGGATGGAGCAATTGTTGAGCCAACGGGCATTGGTTTCACTACAAACAGCACCCTGATAAACTTAAAAGGTGTTTTATTGTAAAGAATTAAATCTAGCCATGCATGAATGTAGAAAAACAGAAAATAGCATCTAGGATTTATCTCATCCAAATCAGCCCCAAAATAATATCGGTTGTGAATTCAATAAGTAGACTTATTTTTCAGAAAATAACAATGAAAGACATGGGTTAAATGCCATAAAAACATATGTTTGAAGATTATGGCAAAGTCAACTGCCAAAGCAGTTTGAAAATATCTACATAGTCTGCAATTACAGATGTTGAGAAAATTGGTTTTAGTGGGGAAAAAAACTGTGCTGTACTTGGTCTCGGTTTTGATCTGAAGAGGAAGTAATATTGAAGTCCATTTGAAGCAACCCCTGCAAAAACCAATACTTCATAAGTTAAAGCATCTCCTTTTCTACAACTATATCCACTAATACAGTTTAGTCTTAAATAGAAAATTAGAGAAACATACGAGGCGGGATAAGAATGCGAAAGTTTTTATGAATCCAGAAGGATGCCCGATGTATAAAAACTACTAACAAATCATAGCTAAATGGTAAAGAGAAAATACTAGATGAGAGAGAACCAAAAAGACAAGAAGTGAGTCCATCAGTTTCCTTCTTTATTTGGTCATGCAGCACACTTGAAATCAAAAGAATTCAAATATATAGAAAGGAATTTTTACCATTTATTTAAACTTGAAATTATTGACAATCGTAAAGAATCAAATTATAGAGCAGGATTCTCTATATGAAGCTAAACAACTCAACACAAATGTCTAATATAACCATGAAAACAATGAGAGGACTATAAGGTACAAATATCACTGAAGTCCAAAAAACGTATTCCTATCAAACTTTCAGGAACAAAGTACAACTGTATTCGAGAACAAAGTACTACATATATTATATATATATATATATATATGCACTTTTAATAGATATAAATGATTATCAAAGAAAATAAAATGAAGGAATAAACTTATAAAGAGGTCTCCTAAAGGTTAAGATCAGTAATTACTGCTTTGTTTGTATCAAACAAGTTCTTTTATTTTTCAAAATAATTCACTGTTCGTGTATCTTGAAAGTACTCTTATGATCAAAAGAAAATAAATGAGAGTGATATTGTTATTTTATGGCTTTCAATTCTTTTATCTTTTACAATGCATTCAATAAAAAATAAATGGCCTTAATGAGAGTAAATGAATTAATTCTCAGTTAAACCAAAGAAAAATAATTATGTCTATGAGGAGTCATCCCTTAATGATACTAACTAGAGACATTATTGTACTTGTGCACGTTAAAGGAAAAAAAATAGAAAAAAAATAAGGTTTTATGGTACCCAAAAAAAAAGTTGAAATGGTTATGCTTTTATGGCACAAAATAAAAAATGTTGTCTTTATGGTACAAAATGAAAAAAAAAAAATCTCATGGTGCTCCTAAAATGACTTAAAATAAAATGAAGAAAACAAAATTAATTAAAATGAATGAAAATATATTTGATAAAAATAATTAAACAATGATTTTTGAAATGCAAAACATATAGTTTATTTTTAGATTGATCACCATATTTCTTTGAACAACCATATTGGGCCTTTGCGTAAAAATTTAATGCATAATAAACTGATAATTATTCACTAAGTTGCTTAAAACTTAATATACTGTTTAACTATTCTTTCTGATAATGATATAAACCCCTTTAAATTGCATGTCAAATGTTTATATTGATTTATAAAGAGACTTAACTAACAAGCATATTGTTTATTCTTTTCCTTGTATTGTTATTAGTTTAGAATTATGAATATTCAGAGGTTCTTTAGCTCACAGTTGTTTAACTAACTTTTCAGGTTTAATTAATTTATTAAAAGATGAGTGATTAACGAGAAAACGTTTATAGAAGATGTGAACAACCATTAACAAGGTAATTATAAATTATATCGTTTTAATTTAATTTTTAGTGGCTCTTCAACTGTTAAATTGTGAGTTAATATAGAAAATTTAATTTACCCGTCCGACCGTCTGTTCCCTCCCTGATTAATTTCAAGACTCAGGCAGGGTCGTGACAAAAGTGGTATCAGAACGCAAGGTTTACGATAAATTAATTAAATAGTTATCAAAGAGAAAATAAAAGAATTTTAAAAAAATTTAAAAATTTAAATTTAATTCCAAATAATAATTATTCATTCAGGTATAATGATACACACAAAATTATAGAAGAAAAAATTTGATAGAAAATAAAAAAGTACAGTCTGCTATAAATGTGAACACGAATCTCCTCACTCAAATGATGGTGGTGATGACTCAGTTGATTCAGGAGTCCAGATCGACGCCTATTGGAAGTGATACAGTTGTTGTAGATAAATACTTGAAAATATTTCAGGATTTGTGTCCACCTTTGTTCAAAGAAACAGAATGTCTGATTGAAGCAGAAAACTGACTAATGAAAATATAGAAGAAAATAGATATCATGGCTTTTTCAAATGAAAAAAATATTTGTGTTGGATGGAGAAGCCGAAAGGTGGTGGCGTGGACAGCATCAGGACAAGTTAGGGACTTACCCAAAACGATGGTTAGTTGGGTCGAGTTCGTGGAGTCATTCGGAGAATAGTTTTTACCCCTATCAGCTCACAACAGTTGTAAGGCAAGTTCATCAAATTGAGGTAAGGAGAGAAGAAAGTTATGCAGTACAAAAAAGAATTCATTGCACTATCGAGGTATGCACCACAGTTGATCGTTATTTTTGAAGAAAAGTGTTAGAGATTTCTTTCGGGATTAAAGGATTCGATCACACAGTCGTTAGTACCTTTAGGAATCCATGAATACTTAGTATTAGTGAAACGAGCTAGAAGAGTGAAGATCGACTACCAGCTTACTCAAAAGCTTAAAAGAGGCATACAAGAGAAAGAATGCAGAAGCAAACGAAGCTCACTCGGAATGATCTAATGAGAAGAAGACTAAGAATAATTTGGGTAGAGTTAGCAGAGGTACGGCTCAAGGTAAAGGAGCAACTTGTGTCAAATGCAAAAGATAACATAAAGATGAATGTTTGAAAGACCTTAACACTTAATATTGGTGTAATCAGTCTTGTCATATGGAAAGATATTGCCCATCTCTTGGCCAGAAAAGCATTGAAGGTCATAAATTTGATGGAGCGCCTTCATAGAATATTGCAGGCTAACAGAAAAAAATAGTCTATAGTTTCAACTCCGACCCAATGTCAACAATGACAACCTGTTCAACCTTGAGTATATTCCCTTACTTATAGTGAGCTTGAAAAGCCTAGTATTGTTGATGATGGATAACATAAAGATGAATGTTTGAAAGACTTTAGCACTTACTATTGGTGTAGTTAGTCTTGTCATATGGAAAGATATTGTCCATCTCTTGGCCAGAAAAGCGCTGAAGGTCATAAATTTGATGGAGCGCTTCATAGAATATTGCAGGCTAACAGAAAAAAATAGTTTATAGTTTCAGCTCCGACCAAAGGTCAACTAAGACAACCTGTTCAACCTTGAGTATATTCCCTTACTTATAGTGAGCTTGAAAATCCTAGTATTGTTGATGGTGGATAACATAAAGATGAATGTTTGAAAGACTTTAACACTTACTATTGGTGTAGTCAGTCTCGTCACATGGAAAGATATTGTCCATCTCTTGGCCAGAAAAGCACTGAAGGTCATAAATTTGATGGAGCGCCTTCATAGAATATTGCAGGCAAACAGAAAAAAATTGTCTATAGTTTCAGCTCTAACCCAAGGTCAAATAAGACAACCTGTTCAACCTTGAGTATATTCCCTTACTTATAGTGAGCTTAAAAAGCCTAGTATTGTTGATGGTGGCGAGATCTGATTAGTTTGGTGTTTTTATTAAAATGTTTTCGTGTTCAGTATCAATGCATGGTTGAGTCAACTTATATCGAGTCTTTAATTGATTTATTATCATTATATATATATATATATATATATATAGAATTGAAAAATAAATAGGTTTATTTTAACTAATAAAAATAATTTTAAATTATTAAATATATAATGACATAATAAATAAAATGAAATTTTAATATAAATACATGTTTATTTTAGGCATTCCATTTTAGATGAGTTGGCGTCGGAGCAAAATCTTATCGAACTGATCAGCATTGAGGTGAGTACTTGTATTTTTAAACTAAAGTAATAATTTGTTTCTTCTCATATATGTTTGCAGTTGATGATATTTGTGGATGTTTTCTTTTAATTGTCATACTCTTTTCTTTATTGGTCATAACATTGCGAACGTTTTACTTATTTACTCATGCATTTTAGTGTATGTTTTATATAGTCTGATTGAATGTGATGAACCCATATGTTTATGTTGAGTGCTTGTAGGTTCATGATTGGCTATGATGAAGCGCCTCTTGACGGTAGTAGTGGGGAAACACTAATATACTCGTGCACGTAAATAGAAAAAGATATTGATATGTCTTAATTGACACAAATTTTAGATAGACCCTCTTGTGACAGTTATATAAATATAAAATAATATTGATATGATAATAATATAAACCCCTTTAAATGCATGTCAAATATTTATATTGATTTATAAAGAAACTTAACTGGCATGCATATTGTTCTTTCTTCCATTGTATTGCTATTAGTTTATAAGTATAAATATTCACTTGTTCTTTAGCTCACAGTTGTTTTAACTGACTTTTCAGGTTTAATTAATTTATTAAAAGAAGAGTGATAGACAGGAAAATATTTTAAAAAAACGTGGACAACCATCAACAAGGTAATTATAAATTATACCATTTTAATTTATTTTTTAGTGGCTCTTTATCTGTTAAATTGTGAGTTAATATAGAAAATTTAATTCACCCGTCCGATTGTCCATTCCCTTCTTGGTTAATTCCAAGCCCTAGACTGAATCGTAACACAGAGGTTGCACCATCCAAGGTATATGTTATAACAAACATTATTTTGCACTTTTGACATGTTTTCTATTAAAACAACTAAAAAAATCAAAATAGGCAAAAACAAAAATTTAATTAGAACAACTTTCGTGCATTTATAGCTCCCTCATCAAATATTAATTAATTTTCATCATATACTCCTTTATTTTTTTTAAATAGTTAAAATGTAACAAGGATTAAAATGCTTTTATTTTTCATTTGATTCTTATCTCTTTTACATGTAAAATCTTAGACATGGGCAATTTTATCATTAATTACTTGCAGCCCTTTGGCTTCCAGTTCAATTTAATATCTCCAGGATTTGACATCAAGTAGTTGAGGGTTCATTTTTTACCTTTCCTTTTTTTCCTTCAAGTTTAATATTGAATTTCACTTTTTTTTTTATGTACCACCACAAAGCAAACAGGAATGAAAATAATCATTTCTT